ATGTATTCTATAAAACTACAAAGATCTTTGTATGGGTTAAAGCAACCTGGGCGCATGTGGTACAATCGTTTAAGCGATTATTTGACAAGTAAAGGTTATAAAAATAACACTATTTGTCCATGCGTATTTATTAAGAAATCAACATCCGGATATGTGGTCATTGCTGTCAATGTTGATGATCTAAACATTATTGGAACAAATAAAGAAATCCTTGAAGTGATTGAACTTTTGAAGAAAGAATTTGAAATGAAAGACCTTGGAAAAACCAAATATTGTCTTAGTTTATAGATTGAGCATATGCCTAACAGAATACTTGTGCATCAATCAAATTACATAGAAAGAGTCTTGAGATGTTTCAATATGGACAATGTCAATCCTTTAAGCACTCCAATGGGTGTTAGATCATTAAAATATTGACAAGGATCCATTTCGTCCATGCGAAGAAAATGAAGAAGTCCTTGGTCCAGAAGTATCATACCTTAATGAAATTGGAGCTCTTATATATATCTTACCAATTGTACTAGACCTGACATTTCTTTCGCTGTAAACTTGCTAGCAAGGTTCAGTTCATCCCCAACAAAAAGACATTGGAATGGGATTAAGCATATTTTTCGATACCTTCGAGGAACGATTGATTTAGGGTTATTTTCTCGTAACATTTCAAAACAAGGCTTGATTGGTTATGCAGATGCAAGTTATTTGTTGGCCCTCATAAAGCTAGATCTCAATCTGGATACATATTTATGAATGGCGGTATTGCAATTTCCTGCCGTTCTCAAAATCAAACACTTGTTGCCACATCCTGAAATCATGCTGAAATAATTACACTAAATGAAGCTAGTAGAGAATGTACATGGTTAAGATTGATGACACAACTGGTTTTAACTTCGTGTGGACTTGAAGAGGATACATGCCCGACTTTAATTTATGAAGATAACTCAACATGTTTCACTCAAATGAAAGAATGATATATCAAGAGCGAGTACACTTAGGAGCTTATAAAGAACCATCAGGTTGAAGTAAAATATGTTCAATCCAGCAACAATGCAACATACCTTTTTACGAAGGCATTTCCTACTGCAATCTTTAGAAAACATGTTCATGTTATCGGAATGTGACATGAGCATAGAATATAATGTAATAGATGTCTAAATAAGGGGGAGTCAACTATACACTACACTCTTTTTTCCTTCGCTAAAGTTTTTCCCACTGGGTTTTCTTTAGCAAGGTTTTTAATGAGGTAGTACTTCAAAGTTGAACTCTAATATGAAATGATGTCATCCAAGGGGGAGTGTTGTAAATAATTGGATGACAACATTTTCTACCCTAATGTCAAATGTGTAAGAGTTATTTTCAACTCTTATAATAAATATGTCAAATATGTGTAAGAACTCATTAATTATGTCTAGTGATTTAACTAGTATAAATATCACATTTGTATATGTAAAAGTCACACAAATTTGAATACTTTATATAAGTGATCAAATTCTCTCCAAATCTTTCTTCTTCTTTCTTAATGTTTTTAGTTTAGTTTTATTAATCTTGTTTTAAATTACGTCAAACTCATATATATATATATATATATATATATATATATATATATATATATATATATATATATATATATA